TTCAGACTTACCCCTAAATTTTTCCTGTTTCACCCCACCAGCCTCTTATCCTAACATGACTAGGTAAAATGGCAATTCAGCAGTTTAGAGAGAGGAGAGGAGGTCATTATGAAAGTGAGGGGGAAAACAAGCCGTTAGAACACTTTTTTGCCGTATTTGCTCCCAGAGTAGGTGCAGATATCAGAAGCTGTACAAAAATGTCACGTACTCTCTTCTGAAGATGAAAGGCAAACAAACCTACTGACTCCTGTTACACTAACAGCTTGTGTAATTCAATTCCCATAAGCTCAGCTGCAAACACCTTATCTCGGTTGGCTCCAAGAGCCTCAGGGGACACATTTGATGGCAGCAGGTTTATCTGCCCCACCAAACAGAGGATAAAGACACAAGAAGGTATTGCATCAGATACACATCTCAGGTACATTTACGGCTTTTGGTACCTTTCACAGTTAGGGGTTTTACAGGTTGGAAACTGAGCCACAGAGGGTTCGTTTTTTGTTTGGCTTTGGAGTTCTTTTCAGGATACTATGTTAAATCTATGGTGATGCTAGGTTTGGGGTTGGGGCAGGGAAAGGCTTCTCAATCACTGTAAGAGTCTGGCCAAAAACTCTGTGCACGTTTCCCAAGGTTCCTCTTTCAAACTGTTACTGCCATACAGATTATTTCTGTGTGTACATTTCTCCTGTTTCACAAACCTACATGGATTTTTTTTTTTAATGCCTGTGTGGAGATTCAATTCAAATTCATCCTGTCCAAAATGGAATTATCTTTTCTGTATCTATACTGTCATTACAGCTTGGCATTGCCCCTTACAAATCATGGACTGAGGTATGGACCCTGGGAAACAAAAAGCTGGAAGTCACTGACATGTCAGTTTGTTTGGTACAAACTTCTTACTGTGGAATTAACAAGCAGTTTAAGAATACAAAAAAAAAACTACAAAAATGTGTTTTTAGTGACAATTCTGTAATTCTGACTACTGCCTCCAAAGTAAAAGGTACTTTGCCTGCATTTAAGTTTTACAGAATTGCTGTT